AAGAGCATTATTTCACTGAGGGTGCTCTCAACTTAAAGGAGGGAAAAAGAGTCTGCAATTTATTGACCTTCTCTTTAGTCCTCTTCCAAGTCCAAGAATAGTAACTCAAAGAATTTAGGATCTAGTTCCATTAAGGAATCACTCTCCAGAATTAGCTCCTCAACTTCAGTTAAGTTATCTGGTGTCTGGGTACCTAACAGGAGAGGGCTTGCCTTCGGGAAAGCGCAAGGGGAGGCCTGGACTTTCCAGCCCTATCTGAATCTCACAGCTACTGGTTCCTACCATCCCCTACACCCACACTCCAGCTCCTTCTTTTCTCTTACTTTACAAGCAGCCTTTTTGACTTTGGAAAAGCGTGCTCTCCGCTGCAGTTCCCCCTACACAACTTAGTTGCTGTCTGGAGTTCCTCCCCATCACTTTCATCTCAAACCCCTTCCACTTTAATGCACGCCATAAAAAAATATGTCGCGGCTAATATTTAAGTCCTCCACCTTTTATGCCACGCTTACAGCTCTGTCAGCTGCCTCCAACTCTGCCACACATCTAGAAATTCTCCCCCAGCTTCCACGACACTTTTCTCCTCTGATCCTTCTCCTGCTGCTCTGGCAAACCTTCTGCAGGTCTCGCAGACATCTTTTGTGGTAACACTCCAGAAGCATCTGTCCTTCACAGCCCTTTTTTTCCTCCATCATATTTCTGAGCAATTTCACCATTTCCACGCTATTTGCAGCTCCACTTGGCCAGATCTGAGTATTTCCCTGCGTTGATAAAGAGTTTTCATTCTTTGTGTGTAAATTACTCATTTGGGCACGTCTGTGCCTTCGCTCCTGCAGCGCCTCTCTTACTCGGGGAGAGCATACTCTCAAGATCTACCAGAGATGCTTCACTATCCCACTTCAGACTCTTCTTTGTGATCAGTGCTTGGACACTGCTGGGTACCTTCAAAACCTGATACCATCAGTGGGAAAGTTCCTATGTTACATGACCATGCATAAACGCTGGGAACTGCAAAGCCTCAAGTTTCTGAAAACTAACGGCAGACGGATTTCGCACATTACATTCCCAGGTTTCTACCACAAAAGAATGAGTGTGCAGATATAATTCACCATTTCTGACGGCTGCAACGTCAGAAATGCCACACAATCCATTATTTCACTGGTTTTTTCTTTTTTGATTTGAATTTAAAACGACCCTTGTAGTCAAACTGTGGCAGAAATAAAGCCAAGGTGAGGGTTTTTTCAGAATACACTAAAACCATATATAAAAATAATCATGGCCTGAGTTAGAGTGGGAGAGTCAGGTTTAAAAAATGTCAATATTTATAACTTTTACTTATATACATGTATCTAAATGAATACACATGTAAAGGATTCAGCTAACAGATGTTCAAAAATGCCTGAAAATGCAGTTTATTTAAATGAAAATAAACAAATAAATGCATTCTTGTTTTGAAAGTCATAGCTCAAGCTACCTCTGCAGTGTAAATCAAACATTTAGTAGGTCTGCTACTGGCATTATGGCACGTGCAAGCAAACAGCCAGGCAGAGAGCAGTCAATTCTACCTTCATTAATGAATGTGCACTTATCTGCAACAATTGTTTGGGCAAATCCTGCATGAAGATTTTTACCAAACCCTGGATTTTTTTTTGGTAAGCCTTCAATGTTTATGTTCTGAAAACCATGCTTAAGAAGTGACGACAGGCCACTTTATTTTAAAATAAAAAAGATTAAATTTCAGCTGAAGCAAGGTTCGCAATAATCCAGATTGTTTCTAGGAAATAATTTAGAAAAAGTGGAGTACATACTACTTGGACTTGTCCATCTTCTCCTATCTGGTGGATCTGAACCTGCTGAGCATTGGCTAGTGCATAGTGTAGTGCCTGGGGCTGGTTCTGATGGACTTCATTTGAAGCTGAAACTGAACTCTGTGAACCATCTGAAAAAGAGAGACAAAAATCCAGCTTTATGTGTATCTCTCATGCCAGTGGCCAGGCAACAATACAGACTTAAAAACCGCGGAAACCAACTGCCTGGACACACACCATTTATACCTTCTCATTCTCATGCATGATCACTGCTCACCTATAGATTTGCCTTGAATTCGAAAGCAGTTCCAAAAGCTATTTTGTCTCTGCGTATGTTTAAAAAGCATCTTTTGAATCTAGATTAAAGATTCTGCAACTGTAAAAGTTCTATCACAGCAAAGCCACGCACATTTCCTAAGCAACTCAACACCATCTTCTGTGCACTTGTGCAGCCGAGCACACTTAAACGACACATTTGCACCCCCATCCTGTAACCTGACGTGATCATAAAAATAAAGGATAAATCTCAATTGGTTTTGAAGATCAATCATCCATAATTCATATTGACTCACATGAGCCTGGAAATTTGTTTTTTAACCAGGAAGACACCTGGGTGTTATCTTCAGGTAACAGGGACAGTCACCAGACAAACCTTTGCATGATTTCAAGGGGATAACAACTTGGATTAGAAGCAGACACATCACAGATTCACTTCTAGGTTTTCCAGCTGCAGGAAAAGGATTCTTTTAAATGTAAGAGGCAAATGGAAGACTGAAAAGAACTAAATATTTTCTTCTTTCCATGTTTTTTTTTTAAGTATAAAAGCACTCAAATACTTTTTTTTTTTTTTTTTGAAACATGAACACTTTATGTTTTTGGTGTCAGTAATACTGAGACCAATAATGTCAATAATTCTGTACTGACAGGGTGAAGTGGAATACAATGGACCCGAAACTAATGCCATGTATGGGCCTTCCTACAGATTAAGACACCACTTAACGTAAACGTATCATGAGACACCATATGCCCTCTTAGGAATCAGGGAAAAAAAAAAGTGTCTCTCCATCAATGACACTTGTGCAGCGCATGTGACAAGTTCAAGTACACACTGCTAGGAAAAACCTTAGTATGTCCCAATATCACACTCATATCTTACTCGTATCATACTAAAATTCAGATCAGTCCTAGTTTTCTTCCTTTTTTTTACATGCAACAGCAAACAGAGAACTGGCCTGTCACAAAGGGCTTTTAGAATAATGTGTCTGAAGAAATACTTTTTTACATACAGTATTCCTGTGAACAATTTTAACATTTTCCTTTTGCTATGCCACAAACTTACACTGAAGGAAACCTCCAAAGCATTAAATGCTTTACAATTTTTCCTGAATTATTTATTGCTCTGACAACGACTTATGCTGCAAGGTAACGTAAAACACGTTAACATCTACGTGCAGTAACTTTCAATACTAGAGGGCTTCCAAGCTGTCCAAGTACCAGAAACTATAATGAAAACATTTAAGAAAGTCATTCTACTTCCACTGTAGATCACTTTTTTACAAGATTTTATATATTGCTTAAATAAGCACTAAATAGGCCTCACCCTGCTCAGAGACGACTGATGGATGATATATTTTGATTTTTAAGATGATGGCTGGTTATTTTTTTTGAACCAATACAGCAAAAAGGCATGTCTCATATGATTTTAATACCTCTACTTAATACTCTAAGACTTATCCTGAAAAGAGAATGTTAGTTTTGTAAGAATGAGCTTTATCCACTCATACAAATATCTCAATGGAAACGTTCTTTAATAACATCATCCACTCGGGTTTCTTTCACCCTGTCTGCAAATGTTTGCGTAAGAAGATCATTTTGAGTTTTAAGTCTAAACATGGGAACTGGAAACTAACTCAAAACTACCACGCTAGTATTTAGTCTTTTGTTGAGAATTTTAGTTGCTTACCAACTAGACAGCTCTAATTATGTTAGCCATGTGCAAATACCTAATTACAACCCGAACACTTATGCAGTAACTGAGTGAAACACAACAAGTACACGGTTTTGCTGCTGGACATACATCCTTATTGCCTTACATCTGACCAGTAGGTAACTGCAGAATGTTTGTACTTTCCCAAATAAAGTCCTGTGGCTTACTGTGCAATTCCAGCATTTCCTGCATTCCTGTACAATGGAAGTCGCTGTATAGAATTCAGGATGGGATTAACAAATCACAGTAGGCCAAAAAGTCCTGTACCTCGTATGAGACACTGCACCATCAACCAAGTAACAACATGATTTGTTCAAATTCTGTACGAGATCATGTTTTCTATTGCCAGTGGCGCTCTCATAGTCACTGAGAGTAACAGATATTCTAGAAACATCGTTTACCCTAAGCCTCTTTGTGCTTCACTTTTTCTCTCATTTCCATTACTTCAGTCTTAATAATATTTTATGCAATTAATTTTCTGTATTTTTTTACTTTACAAATAGCATCTTTTTAGGATGCTAAATGGCTAAGAAAGCCCACTGGTATTCATCTTCTTTCTAATAGGCTCCCACCAGTCCCTTTCAGTGGGATTTTGTCTATTATGCTTCCCAGTCCCCCACGATGTAATTCAACAGCTGAGTTGAGTTACAACTCAATTTCTGCTCAAACCACAGTGTCCAAATACATCATCCTTCAGTTAGATGTGTGCGTGTATACACACGTATGCACGCCAACATAACTTCATGCACTCAAACGCATAGAGGTTAAATGTAAATACACATTCCCTAACAGCAGAACTGGACTTGGGACACAAGAGAGGTTAAGAAATGCGTTTCACTTCGAGATCTAGTAACCTTGTAGCAGTACTTCTCCTGTAACTTACACTGACCACTACACAAACTGCAATACTTCTCAGAAAACACAAAGATGCAGTTATAATTCGCATTTATTTTCTGATGAAGTTATAAAATAAGAGTATCAAAGAACTAAGAGCTGCAGCAGATAAAAATACATATTTACGTATTAAATATGTACATACTGAAATATATTTTTAACTATAAAGGCCAAAAGCCTTTATTTGTAAACCATCTTTCCTCCACAGATGCCAGAAACAATTATACTTTTCAGAGGTGGGGACAGCAGACAAAGACTGAATGCAATCATACTGCACATCTCGTGTGGTCACACAGAAACAGATTTCAGTTTGGCTTCACTGTAACAACCACAGTTGGATTTTCCTCCTCTTTTTTTTGTTGGATTTTGGTGAGTTGTTTTTTTTTTCCCCCTCTCTCAGGAAGAAAGAAGAGAGAGGATTCAACAGTGTCTAAAAACAAAATATCCTTTATAAGTATTGTTTTTCCCCTCAAAATCTCTGACCAGACAAAAGTAGTATTTATCCATTTTAAACACTCCCCATTAAAAACAAACACAAACATGAATAGCACACAGCTTGAGTAGAGAATATGTCAACAGTTATAAATCCCTGTCATGTAAACTATCTGGCCTCATATTTACAACTTTGATATATTAGAGAATCCCTGGCACTGAGAAGCTATACAGCTGAACTCTTGCTTTGAAATTTTCCACTGCACTAGTTACGAAGGGGTACGTTGACATGAACCGAACAGCTCACCTGGTCCTACCACTAAGCACATTATCCACGGCATTCCCAAAGCACCCTCCACTAGACAGAACAGCTTTGGAGCCACGCACAGAATGGAAGGTGCTGCACTGACCATTCCGGGGGGATTAAGTTGTGATACATGGGGAAGAAAAAAACCTCCAACTGCCGAAATATTCCCTCCTCCCAAGTTGAAATTGGGTCTTTTACATTTTCCGTCTGTTTACTGCACGTGCTTGTGAGCCAAAGAACATTTAGCCTGAGTCTGACTCTCAGGCGCATGTTCAGGAGTTGGCAAATTCACCCCACTGAAGCAGTTGCTTGTCCCATTTCTCAAAGCCAATCCTCCTCAGACATTGCTGAGCAAGATTAGATGTGTCAGACAAATGTGATTTGTAACTGTTTCAAGAATATGCGTGTTTCATTCTCAACTACGATCAGTTTTAGAATTCCTCACTTCAAAGGCGAAACCTTTGGCATTTTCTAATTCTTTCCTATTCTACTTCATACTTATCAGTTGAGCATCTGGCTTCTCATTTGGGGAGGAAATGTAGGAGGTGCAGATCCTGTAGCAGAGGGGATTCAGGCTTAGCCTCCTTATGTGCTGTTATTCAAAACTGTTTTCCTACTACAGACCTCCCAGCCTCACACCTGCTTACACACTAGAACCTCTTTTCTTCCTTCTTTGAAGCGTAGTCCTAGCAAGGAAAGGTAAAGAGCCAGATGTAGCAAAGCAGTCCTCAAAAAGCAGGGAAAGCACCATTACTGAGCAATTAAAAGAAACTGTACGCTGTAAACCATTATCTCAACCTGACTCATCCAGTGCGAAATGCCTCCAGTTTTGCAGAACAGCTTTGAAGATTTGGCTGCGTATCCGTGTCTACATGTGACATCTCGGCGTAGGCTGAGCACTTCAGCCTAAATCTACATATAAATCCCAAAGTCATAGAACTAATTAAAAATTCCAACACGGAAAATGTGATAACAGCTTTAACAATGTTAAGAGAAATTAAAAGAAAGGGAGAAGGCACTCTTCAATTAATCCTCCTCCCAAAAACCTCATTTCCTACTGCCGTCCCTCCACAGACTGCTAGCATTTTTATAAGGAGTATCTAGCTAAATTATCATGGCAGCCATGTGTACAGCCCTTGTCAGGAAAAAAACCCAAGCGTAAAACACATTAAGGACTGAAATGTTGGCTTGGAGAGGAACAGAGCAAACCACCGCCATTAATACCTCAATTCCAACAAAAGACAACAGCTTCAATCAGAAGAGCCAGATAAAATAAGGAAAACCAACTTCTGCCTAAACGTAACGTTCTGCTACCACAACTTTATGCAACCCATAAATCTTGTGGCTACTATGCAGCTTCATAGTCAATTAAATGTAGAACAATCTCAATTAATATCTTGGGGGGTGAAGGATGGAAGAGAAATTCATTCATCTTTTCCTACCAGCTTCCAATGTATCAGTTCCTCTTCAGCTCTTCACACTCCAACCCTATCGCAGAACTACAACGCCAA